ATTAAACAAACTTTATATGTAACTTGACTAGAAAGACATGTAGATCATCTTGGTGCACTTTAACCTGCTGTTTAACAACTTTAACAAAATGTTTTGTTCAGATCTGGACCAATTTCGAAATTTGCATATGAGGACTTACCGGAATTGTTATATGTTGTTTCCGGCCTCATTTAAACTTGCTTTGATGTGTTGTTTTTGTATGCATCATCTCTTACCATGAGTAGCATCATTTAGACTTGTCATGCATCATACTTGGTTGAGCATCATGTCATGTTTATGTGTTGTGTGTTTACCATGTTGTTTGCTTCTTTTCGATTGTGCTTCTTCTTGTTAGTTCCTGTTTCGTTGCGATCGTGAGGATTCGTTACTATGCTTGGTTCGTCTACGTGGCTTCGTCTTCTTCATGCACTCCTTCTTTCTAGCAGGATTTCAGACAAGATGACCGTCACCTTAGATCTCACTACTATCTTTGCTATGCTAGTTGTCTCGATGCTAGTTCTATGTCACGCTACCTACCACTTGTTTATCAAGCCTCTCAAATTGCCATGAGCCAGCCTCTAACCTTTTTCACCATCCCAGCAAACCGTTGTTTCGCTATGTTATCGCTTTGCTTAGCCCCTCTTATAGCGTTGCTAGTTGCAGGTGCAGTTGCAGGTTGTTCCATGTTGGGACATGGATATCATGAATATCTTGGGATATCACAATATCTCTTATTTAATTAATGCATCTATATACTTGGTAAAGGGTGGAAGGCTCGGCCTTTTGCCTGGTGTTTTGTTCCACTCTTGCCGCCCTAGTTTTCGTCATATCGGTATTATGTTCCTTGATTTTGTGTCCCTAACACGATGAGGGTTTATGAGCCCCTCTTGACAGTTCGCTTTGAATAAAACTCTTCCAGCAAGGCCCAACATTGATTTTACCATTTGCCTAATAACAACTAAAACTTGCATAGGGACCAGCTAGCACCCGAGGATAATTAATCAACTCCCCGGGCCAGTGCTCCTCTGAGTGTTGGTCCAAATCGGGCAGCCCGCGGGGCCACCTCGAGGAAACTCGAGGGCTGGTTTTACTCATAGCTTGTCCCATCCGGTGTGCCCTGAGAACGAGATACATACGGCTCCTATCGGGATTTGTTGGCACATCAGGCAGTCTTGCTGGTTTTGTTTTACCATTGTCGAAATGTCTTATGCACCGGGATTCCGAGTCTGATCGGAGGGTCCCGTGATGGAGGATTGTCCCTGCGGACCGTGAGCTTGTCATGGGCTAAGTTGGGACACCCTTGCAGGGTTTAAACTTTTGAGAGCCGTGCCCGCAGTTATGTGGCAGATGAGAATTTGTTAATTTCCGGTTGTAGTGAACTTGAAGTAAACTCAATTAAAATACACCAACCGTGTGCGTAACCATGACGGTCTCTTTTCGAGTGAGTCGAGAAGAGAACACGGTTGGGTTATGTTTGAACGTAAGTAGTTCAGGATCACTTATTGATCATTACTAGTTTGCGACCGTTTTCTTAGTTTCCCATCTTACTCTTGTACTCGTAAGTTAGCCACCATACATTGCTTAGCCGCTGCTGCAACCTCACCACTTACCCTTTCCTACCCATTAAGCTTTGTTAGTCTTGATACCCATGGTAATGGGATTGCTGAGTCCTCGTGGCTCACAGATTACTACAACAACAGTTGCATGTACAGGTAATGCGATGATCCGACGTGAGAGCGATGTTTACTTGTTTTGGAGTTCTTCTTCTGCTTCTTCTTCGATTAAGGGATAGGTTCTTGGCCGGCAGCCTGGGCTAGCAGGATGGATGTCGTTTGAGTTTCTGTTTGTGTTTCATCTGTAGTCGGATGTTGTCCTCATGTATGATGTTTGATGTATTCTTGCGGCTTTTGTATGTCTTGTATGTATCCCCAACTATTATGTAATGGTACAATGTAATGATACCCACCTTGCAAAAGCGTTTCAATATGCGACTCTATCCTTGGTGGGACCTTCGAGTTTCTCTCGGATAGAATCACATATTGGGTGTGACATTGTTGTCAGCCGCTTCGGCCCTTGTGGCACTGACGCACTATAAAGTCGTCTCTAGTGGCGCGTCATTGATGATAGTGGCCGTGTCTAACCGGTGAATCCACAAATGATGATGAAAATATGGACAATACATCACGTGGAGTGGAAGATGAAATGTTTGTTGTCTTCTTTGATGCAAATGGTATATCTGTTGGAAATTTCTCCCCACCTGGTGACGATCTACCTCCATTTTGAGATATCTCTTTTGGTGGTGATGGAAGTGGCGTGAACTATTTTTGTTGATTAATTGGAAGCAAATGGTTGTGACTTTTTTGGATGGGTGATCTATTAATGAATGGTGTATGTGTTTTAGGCTACTAACTGGACAATCCTATGTAGATGACTTTTTGTGAAGTGTAGGTACCGAGTGCAGCTAGATGCCATATTTTGTAAAAGTGGCAATATTGTGTAAGCGCATGTATGTTGTCATGTATAAAGATGGTGGTTGAAATATATAATCTATGTTCTTTTTCGTCTTCAACTTTTTGGAGTGATCATGTACAATTATTATTAATAGTTAGATTTGTGAGAATCCAATATTAATTCTATCATTCAATGCAATATTTATAAATAATGAGGGGTATATGGACTAACGGCTGCGTTTGCTTGGGGACTGGAACTAACCCAAAGGATGCTTACTCCCTAGTGGAACTAACCCAAAGGATATTTACTTTACAAGTCAGCACACTTGCCACCTATCACCTATTTCCGCACAATGAAAATAAAACAATATCTAGGGTACTCTTTGGACACCGAAGAGAAACCGAGCTCCCCCACTAATGGGCCCCTAGGAAAATTTCACTAGGGTATACACTAGGGTAACTCCTTCCCCTAGCATTTTTTGCCCTTTTGCTTAGGGTATCCGGCCCTAGGGCTATCTGCAGATTCCTAGTAAGCATTGTGATTAACTCTAAAATCTCATAAAATACTTTTGATAGTGAAGTTGATCATGCATATCTTTGAAATCTATCACCAAGTATTAATTCCAATGCCATTTTGTTCTCTTATAATTGGTATTCTTTCAATTAGTATAATTGGTAGAGCATTTCCATACCACATTTGCTTTAGGTTCCCTTTATATCTAGGCGATAAACTTTTATTGTGATTCCCCGGTTTCCTTCTAGAAGTTCTTATTCTTTAAATGCATTGTTCTTGTCCTATTTTATCCCTAATTAGTATGTGTTGAGGGTAGACATACTTTCTCATTTTGGTACTTGGTGCCATTGTGGAGAAATGTAGAGAGTTAGGTTGACTTGTGGGAAGTTTGCCTTTGTGGGAGTTAGTTATCCGATTGCTTGTACTATCCATAATCTACTTGGGTGAGATAGACCTATGAGTATGAATGAATGTATATGTTATATGCTCAATGGTTTTGCTTGGTGCATATGTAAACTATGTGAATTTCCATGTGTCGACATGAGACTTTGATGTAATATACAAAATGCATGATTTGCGATACTTATGTGAATAATCATAGTTTATACGTTGTTGTTTTTTAAATTTTATCTCTTGATGGATCTTGGAAGCGATATGCATGCATACTTACACTATGTCATTTTTTAGTATCACATGAAATTCAAATGCACATACATAAGCAGAAACTTTGGACCCAATAAGTTTGGAACCAAAATGCACTATGTCTTACATACATTGGAGAAGCATTAATGGATGCTTGGCTCATTCATGAGGAACATGGTGACATCATATGCAAATAGTGGCCAAGCTAGAATGATTCGTTTATCTACTACTTCTTACTAACGCTATCTCGGTAAGGTTCTCGACTCGGATGGTGGATGGAACACGCGCGTGGACGCCATCGAATCATCCAGACACACGAGGCATGTGGTTATGGTTGAGCAAGATCCCAACACGTGTTTGCGTATGTATGTGTGGCCACGTGATCAGAACATATTTTACATGCATTATTTTTTAATTTCAATCATTAAATTCTATGGTCAACAGAGCATATATTCAGCACACGTGCACGATTGTGGTAGCTTCATTTTCTATTGTTTAAAATAACAAATGTGGATGCCTCTCAAATATTGTTTTCCTACTCAAATCTCGCTAAGCTCCTCCTTGGATGTCTCTCACTGTACAATTATTGTGGTAGACACTCTCACTGTACAATTATTCTGCTAGACATGTCTTACTATTTTTTAAGGAAACTGGTGTATTTTTAACCACAGCCAATACGCCACGAGGTATCTCCTTTTGTTTTATTTTTACCCACAGAACATTTATGCACCTCAAACCTTCCTTTGTTATTTATAGGCTGAAGCCTGAAACAAACCACCTCCGGGTTTTGGTCATGTGCCCCTTTTCCACGGACATTACCCATTCACCTCTCATTTTCTCCTGCAAATTTTGTTCTTCTTCTAGCATTCTGTGCGCCTTCACACGCCTCTCATCGAGAGATTTAGTTGGGTGGATGGTGCAACAAGTTTGGAGGCAATGAGGTATGGTTGATCATTACTCGATTCTTGCCGTAAAAATCCTTTTCCATGGTATATCTGTTCGCTTGGTTAGAATGTGTTATGCTGGAACCAGGTGCACTTATCAAGAAACGAGCAACGAAATTCTTTTGCGGTTTGCATTTTGTTCCAGATTCTCTGGGGCATCAGCTTATGAAAACATGCTATACATAAATCTTATATACTTGTGATCTTATCATAAGAGGTAAGATGTGAATTCTTTTGCACAAAATCTATGATTGGTGGGCCTTGATAAGATATAGAACAATGGAAGAGAATACATGAAATCTGTTGTTAAGACAATTTTGTTCATTCACAGAAGCCACACACATTTGATGTCCTTTGTTTTCCCTGTATTCACATAGGGTGTCGAGGGACTCGTAAAGAACACAATTGCTACAGAGATCTTAAACAACAGAAGCAAGTCATACAGAGGAAACAATAGACCTGAGGCAAACAATGGGTCTGTCGATCTCATACCCACCGGATGACTACTTGCCAGCAGATGATGACAACTCGGACAGGCCATTTGTCCGGTCCTTAAGCTTTGACAACCTCAGCAGCCTTGAGACCCCTGATTCGCCACCAGAAATGTTCGATGCGGTGAGCTCTAGGGGTCCTGCAAGAGAAGGGTCCTTAAATGCCAGGAGAAAAGAGGGTCCTCCATTACATGTTAATACTACGAAACCCAGGCTGAGTCCTAAACCTGACAAGGAATGTTGTAACCATAAGCACCTTTCGAAATATGGGGCAGATCACCTGCCACCAAATTCTCCGGTGGTAGGGATGGTCAGTCCGCAGCACCAGGCTGCAGCAATAAGGGTGCAGAAGGTATACAAGAGCTTCAGAACAAGACGACAGCTTGCTGACTGCGCTGTTCTTGTCGAACAACGGTGGTATGTTACAATTTCATGTGCTTGTCGTCCATTGTCGTATTTGATACAGTGGCCCTTTGTAACTGGTGTCCTGAAATTTGCGATGCCGAATTCAGGTGGAAGCTTCTCGATTTCGCACTGCTCAAGCAAAGTTCGGTGTCATTCTTCGAGGTAGAGAAGCCAGAGACTGCCCTAACAAGATGGTCACGGGCCAGAATAAAGGCTGCCAAGGTATGTGTCACTTTAAGCTAACCATATTCTGCTGTTTAGATTTTCTTAATGACCATTAGCATATTGTAATACTGCTGAATACTGAATTCATATGGGTGGTGTTCCTTTGTTGTTACTTCAAGGTAGGCAAAGGTTTGTCCAAGGATGAAAAGGCCCAGAAGCTCGCACTTCAGCATTGGCTAGAAGCAGTATGGCTCGGAAACATTCTCTTCAAACACTCTCCTATAATAGCATTGAACACATCAAACTCAAATTCCATAGTATTTCATGGGCAGATTGACCCCCGGCATCGATACGGTCACAACCTCCACTACTATTATAAAAGCTGGCTTCACTGCGACAGTCAACAACCTTTCTTCTACTGGTACAGTTCATGCTGAACTCTGCATTATCTGTGAACTAGATCAACAAAAACAAGCTCATGATTTCTGAAATTCCGTTTGTGATAGGTTGGATGTAGGTGAAGGAAAAGAGATTAATCTTGAGGACCAATGCCCAAGATGGAAGCTGCTGCACCAATGCATCAGGTATCTTGGCCCTGTAAGTTGCTGCGACCTGTAGAACAATCCAGCTGTAATCTCAAATTAGAAAATGTTAGTACTAGCGATCAAGCAAGGAAACAAAAAAACAGGGCATAAAATGTCACATATCTGAACATGGTGTTGTTTCTCTGTGCAGAAAGAGAGGGAGTTCTATGAGGTAATGATCGAGAATAAGATGATGATGTACAAGCTGAGCCGCAAGATTGTCAACACGTCCGAGGGGCCCAAGGATGCAAAATGGATCTTTGTGTTGAGCACGACGAAAATTCTGTACATAGGCACAGTCAGAGAATAGTGGCAGTTGTCACCTGTCAGCAGTACTTCACTAGTCTCTGAATCATAAAATTTACCTGTAACTGATGAAATAAGCACATTATTGCAGAAGAGCAAGGGAACATTTCAGCACTCCAGCTTCCTTGCCGGTGGAGCCACATCTGCTGCCGGGAGATTAGTCGTTGCGAACGGAATCCTAAAGGTGCCTGGATCTGCATATTTCTACTATTGCCAGAATTTAGATTTTATGTTTAGAATTCCAAATTCACCTGTCTGATTCAGTTACCCACCGTCTTCAGGCTGTGTGGCCTCATAGCGGGCACTACCGGCCCACAGAGGCGAACTTCCGGGAGTTCATGAAGTATCTCAGGAAGGGGAACGTCGATCTCACCGATGTGAAGGTGAGGAGACCAAATCTGATCCTTTGGCTGCTAAAGAACAGTGGACATTATGTTGGTGTTCTTCTCTGATAGAAGGAACACTTTTTCTGTTGTCGGAATTGGTACAGCTGAGCCCAACAGAAGGCGAGGAGGACGAATGGCTGAGGAGCAGCCTCTCCCAGATGGATCTAACAACGGAGGTCAGCACGCCGGGGAAGCAAGGAGACACCAGGGCCCAACCCCCTCGCGGTGACAAAAAGAAGATCAAACCGGCCGTGCCGGCGGCGCCACCTTCCACCAGCGGCGAGGCAGTCGCCGGCTCGCCGGGGATGAAGCGGTCCTCGTCGGGCACCCGGCTGCAGCGCAAGCGGCCGCCGAGGCTGACGGTGAGCAAGAACCGTCTGGGCAAGGACGCGGCGGAGCCGGACGCCGGCTCGTTCGGCGACCGGCTGGACTTCTGCAAGGCGAACCTGTTCACGGGGCGCGGCGCGGAGGGCGGGGAGGGGGCCGAGGTGCCGGCGGTGCCGCAGGAGATGATCATGCACCGGATCAACTCCAAGATGGCGCACAAGTCGTACCAGCTCGGGCAGCAGCTGTCGCTCCGGTGGACGACCGGCGCCGGCCCGCGGATCGGGTGCGTGCGCGACTACCCGCCGGAGCTGCAGTTCCGATCGCTGGAGCAGGTTAGCCTGTCCCCGCGCGCCGGCGCCGGCCCGCCCAGGCTCGGGGCGACCCCGCGGCAGAGGAGCCCGTGCACGCCGTCGCCCCTCGGCGCGCCCGTGACTCCCGCGGGGCCGCTGCTCCAGCACGGCGCGGCGTAGAGGAGAGCTGAGCACGGAACGTGGTGGTGGGCTGGCTGATTTGCCGCTCGTGGCCGCCTGCCACCTCGTGTGTTGGTTGAGAATGGCACTGCGCGCGGCGGCGCGGCACGGCAGGGCAAAAGATTTGGGGGGAACCCCATTGTAGATTTGTACAAGAGGGACGAACACAAATGACAGTCCTCGTTCGCGCGACACCACCGGATGACATTACAGCATCTCCAACGGCCGCACAAAAATTTCACGCCCAATAAAAGTTTTAGCACATCACGGTAACATTTTTAATGCGCCGGGACCAACATTGTTTTAGCAGATGCCAAAAACACGCACCCAAAAAACAGACAATGCAAATTGTGAAACGCGCGCAATCCGGAGCTCAAAATAGCTGCGCGCGATAGTGTTTTTCAGCGCGCCCCCTAAATATTTTAGTGCTACAGTATCTGCTGGAGCTGTTCGACGTCCAAAAAAATAAATTTTTAGTGCGCGGAGCTCTTTTAGGGCGCCTGTTGAAGATGCTCTTATACAATTTAGATACAGGTCCGTTGTTTCTCAACTCTCAAGTCGTCTGATTAGAACTCCCTCCATAAATATTAGCACAGTTCTCTACTTTATGCCAAACTAACGACACTTATGTTAGAACGGAGAGAGTATTTAGTGTCCTCTTCCCTTACAAAATTCTCGCTTCACCTTTCGCTCAAGAAGAAAATCGCCCATGTAGTCCTTCAAATGAATCCACTTGCAAGTCCGGCCCTGATGGTTTCTACATGAAATTCTGGGCCCTACTAAAAATTCCAATCAAAAATCTTTTCCATGTCTTTCATGAACAGTTTTTTGACACTAATAGCCTAAACCGTGCTCTGATTGTTCTTCTCTCAAAGAAGACGGTGCCATCACGCCAGGTGTTTTCAGGCCAATATCGCTTATGAACTAAAAATTCCAAAACAAAATATTTTTTATGTCTTCCAAGAACAGTCTCTTGACGCGGAAAGCCTAAACTGCGCTCTGATCGTTCTTCGAAAAAGACACTACTTTTAGGCTAATATCGCTTCAGAACTGCAGAAACGCATAATTTAATGGTTATGCCGGTGATCTCCTAAACTGCAGCCACATATAGATCTAAGAAACCAACGCTAGCCATCAAAACCGACTTACAAAAAAGCTTTCGACTCTGTTAACCAGGAGGCCTTGCTCCAAATCGTAAAAGCTAGAGGTTTCCCATCACTCTGCAGTACATGAATTCTAGACATACTTCAAACATGTTAGACTGCCGCTTTGTTAAACGTGTTGGAGATATGCCCTAAAGGTAATCATGTATGATGATATTTCTTATGCGTTTATGAATAAAGATAGTCCTTGGACATTATCAATGATGTGTATCAGCAAGTACGTGACTTGTTTATGGGACTATGCATTGTATGATGACTGTCCTAAAAGGTCCCTAGTCGAAAGAGCTGTGTGGACGCGCAGCCGACTAGACTACCATATGACACGGTCGATGGCTTGGTCTCACTAGCCATGGAGCATTGGATGCTAATGGGATAATATAGACTCAGAAGGATCTGGTCGGATTCGACGTAGTCGGATCCGAGTTGAGATAATGTCCGAGTCGGACAGACCCAACTATGAGACGCAGCGATATGTCATCTATGAGTCTCTAGTACAACATACGTTCTATGTCCTAAGATCTGAGCTGGCGCATGTACTCGGGATGGTCACAAACTTGCTTTGGGCCAACCAAACGCTACCCCGTGACTCGGTAGTTACAAAGGTAGGTTTCGGGCTTGTCCAAACCCATATTGCGAGACATGGTCGAGCAAGATGGGATTTGCCCCTCCGATTAGGAGAGATATACTCTGGGCCCCTCGTGTGATCCGATCAAGATAAGCATGGCCATGCGATTAGGATTATGAGATAATCCAGTTTGTGGTCGACATCACTTGAACGAGAAAGAGGTCGGACTAGCACAAGGATAACAGACTCGTCTTGAGCCCGACAATATATATCGTGTGGCAAAGGGAGCAGATGTGTGATGTACGGGTTCGCCTAACCAGCTTCGTCGGACAATTGAAGTCGGCACGCTTTCCTAGAGGCCGCTACCGACTAGCCGAGTCGGATGTGATCTGACTCGCGACCAAGTCAACGAGAACCTAAGGGGTCGCGTGCTTAAGGGAAGGGACCTGTGAGGCCCGGTCAGACTTCATGAGTCAGAAGTGATCCTACTCGGATTCGAATCCAGGCCAAACAGACTTTGGGCTTTAGGGTCCGTGCGAGGCCCAAGTGTTGAGCCCACGACGGACGCCTATATAAAGTGGGGGTGCGGCACTCTCATGTGATTGATCGCTTCGGCGCTGTCACTAGAGTTTGCATGTGTTAAGAATAGCCACCTCCACTCGACTGCCGACTGTGTGATCGGACCTAGCAGTCCGCCGCACGGTGTTCCTCCTGCACGCGCGGATACTGTTAGAGGCGGTGCACTTGCGCCGCTCCGGCGAACTTGTACGTGGGAACTGACGACCGGCTGTTCGAGGGAGATCGCACGGGGAGGAGACGATCCACGCGGACGCGCTGCCCCAACTCTTCTTCCGCTGCATGGCACTGCGTGTCTGATGGTAATGATTTGTGATCCATCTCCCATAGCATGTTCTTGGTTGTTCTGCGCGTAGGAAAATTTTAATTTGCAGTCGACGCACCCTAACTCTGCCTATGTCTTCTAGGCATAGCCGGTCCCAAGCCCGGGTAAAGGAGGAGGGTTGTGATAGGCTTGGCGAGCCAACATAAAAACTAGCCAGTCCCATGGGTATGAAACCCATTTGAGCGAGAGTAGTACTAGGATGGGTGATCTCTTGGGAAGTCCTCGTGAAAGGGTTTCATATCTAAGGGTTGATAGGCTTGGCGAGCCAACGTAAAAACTAGCCAGTCCTTTGGGTATGAACCCCATTTGGACGAGAGTAGTACTAGGATGGGTGACCTCCTGGGAAGTCCTCGTGAAAGAGTTTTATATCTAGCCTACCCCAACTTGTTTGGGACAAAAGGCTTAGTAAGTAAGTAAGTAAGTCGACGCACCCTATCATAAAACCCAACAAAACGGTTGCCCAGAGAAATGCATTCGATGCATAAACGGTTTACGCTAAGGTGACCCCTTATCACCCATCATTTCATCATTGTACCTGACATCCTCCAATGAGAGATCATTTAGTCATTCAACAACAACCTCCTCCATCATCCCATCTCTGAAATTTATAGAGAAAACAATTTATATCTATAATACCAAACATATATAATATAAAATATAACTCATGATATATCCGGTGATATGCATTTAGTATTCTAAATGTAAATAGTTCTCTTTGTAAACATCATTATAATCTGTATGGTTTGACTATGTTTTTAAATCTATAGGCACAACAATATGTAACGGGAAGTACTACGTTAGTAGTGTCGAAATGTTTCTTCTCACTAATGAGGATCGTTCCCAATTTTAATTTATGAAAACTGATAAATAAAACAACATCCAGAGGGTTCGCTCCCCCAACACATTTACATCCTTCAAGAGCTCGGTACCATAACACTACATGCAACTCATAAAAAAGACACTACATGGACCAAAACTGAAAGAAATTTTACAAGCAACCTCAATCTATGTCCGCACATGAACACGTCGTCGTGTACCCCCGATACTGAGTGTGGTATGCAAGACAACGTCGGAGGAAGGAGACTCACCGGAAACACGATACACAAGATACGTCGGCGAGATCTTTTAAGGATTTGAAACCCCACACGCGGAACTAGATGTCCCCTAGGGGGGGTGAATAGACGTTTTGAAACGTTTATGGATTTGGCTTATCTTAATGCCAAATTAAACTAAAAGGATAGTTTTCTGAGCCCAAATCCTAAATATGCGGCTTAACTAAGTGCACCGAAAATCTATGCTAACAAGATATGGACATAATGGAACAAACACAACCTATATGACAATATATATGGAATTCAAGGATGTAGTTAAGCAATTCAAACTAACATAGGTTATATCAATAGGAGCGAGTATGAATTGCAGAAAGAAAAAGGTTCATGAATGAGATAATCACAAGTGAGCCAGGGACGTGAATTTATCCGGTAGTTCACACTTGTGAGAGTGTTATTCTTCGTTGGAGCGGTGCCAAAGCCAAAACTATGGAGCACCACCAAGTGGCTCACCGTATTCTCCCCTTTTGAGTCATCCCCAATGAATGAACCTCAATCATTGTCCATTTTCTTCCCCCTTGTGCTTGCAGGTATTTTTGAGCTTCTTGTCGTTGTTTGGTCGCACCTGTTCTTGGTGTTCTTCTCTGTCGGCCCTCCCACGAGGCAGCTGAGGTTCGCATGCTCTTTCTTTCTTTTTTCTTTCTTTCCTGTGTGATCTCTTATGCACAATCAATGTCCGTTTTCTTTCCCTTTGCAACTGTAGGTATTTGTGAGTTTCTTGATGTCCTTTGGTTACACCTGTCCTTGGGCTTCTGCTCTTCGCCGTGGGCTATCTCTTTAGCCTGTGTGTCCTTGTCGTTCGTGTTCGTTGTATGAAGGTTTGATCGTTTGATTTTCATGGGTGCTTTGCCTCTTCATACATCTATGCTGTTGGGTCTCTTGTGTTGGTGTATCCATGCGCGTGCTTTTCGTCTATGTGTTCATATTGTAGTGTTTTTACGCTCTATTGTTGATTTATGTGTGCAGGATGTGTTCTGTTGTGTCTTTTCTAACCCATGTTTTGGAGAGCATGGCAATATAGTTTGCCTTGCTGGCCATTTCTGATGTGTGTAATCAGTGGAGAAGTGGGACACCATGTACTCAATGTTGTCTCGGAGTGCGTTGGCAAGGTTTCTCATGTTTTTTATGGAGCCTCCGAGCTTGCTCGTATCGGCGTATGTGGCACAGGGCGTGTACCCTGGTGTGTCATCCTGTGGCTACTCCTATTCTTCCTTCGATGTGAATTCTTCTTCATCTACCTCCTCAGGTTTGGAGTTTTCTTG